GTAATAACGCTGGATGCCATCAAATGCCTTCACTGCAGAAGGCTTGCTAACTCTTTCATCTGAACACAGAACAATTATCTCTTGCCAAGAGTATATTTTCTGTCAGCTGTGCTGCACTTTTTCTTCATCAACTCAGCTTATAATAAAGACATTTCCCCCTTCTTTTCGTTCCTAAGAAGGGTATTTTTCTCTCTAGCTGTATTATGCAAAAGCACCCAAGACATTTATGTGCAGTACTACCTCTTCCTGTGTTATCTCTACAGGTCTGAGGAATGACTGACATTTTTGGTCCTTTCCTAGGCCTCTTCACAGATTAGGCAGTTTGTGAATGCAATCCACATCAATATTAGCAAATGCATATTAAAACCCCCCAAACATAAAAGAAGTTTTTATTTCCAGAAAGAAACCTTATATACAGATTAAACTTTGCAAAGGCAGCCTTGGCAGGATTGCTTCTGGCAACTCACTTTTTCAAAGCTTCTCAAATCATGCTCTACCTGTTCTGCTCTGCTTTCAAGGGCACAAATGATGTCTAGTTTGCATTAGTCAAGTCACAACAGAAAGCTAGGAAAACCTGGACTGACGTAACATGCTAGCAGCAAGAGTTGTTAGCAGTAAATAAATAACTTTCTTTCTAGTTTGTTCTCTAAACCAAGTTCATCTTGGGACAGAAATGTAAAAACACAGAGTCACCTCACTGTCCATGAAAGGAGAGGAGAGATTTTTGTCTTTTGACATACGACTAGTGTCATTATCTAGGAATCAGAATACCTTTGGATTTTAAGCTCTTATGCACTCCCTTCACATTTAGAAGTCAAACTTTTCTTTCTGATGCCAGAATTTAAAATGCCTTCTCTTTAGTGTATCCATATTTTCTGTGGATGAAGCATCTTCTCCCTCTAGTCAACTCATCAAACATTTCTTCTCAGAACCCTGCCCCCCTCTCTCTCAAGTACAGTTACAGAAGATGTTAACGATGAGCAGGGAGGTGAGGATATTAGTGTCAATTTCCCAGGTTTCTTTTACATTAAAGCTCGTCTTGTGGGAAATGGTTAGCATAGAGAAAGTAAAAATTTCATCAATGATTCATTCTCTCCAAGGAAATAATTTCCCTTCAAAATGAAGAATTTCATAAACATTGGCCAAAATGGAGCATCCACTTCCCACACACCTATACATCACAAACCAGAACACATGTATTAATACCAGCTATAATCTTATGATTTTTTAAAAGAAAAATCCCAAATCCATTAAAACTATGAATGAAAGCAGCACCAAGGATGAAAGCAGTAAAATTCACAAGCATCACACCCATGGTCCAATTTTAGGTGACATGCCCAGACAATGGCAGGATTAAGTCACAAACTCTACACAGGAGAAGAAATCCCAGTAATCCCTGTCAATCTGACGGAGAAGAAAGTTTTTTTCTGGCCCTAAATTGTATGACTTGCATAACCCTAAGTGTTTAAACACAACACACGTGAGAATCTGTGCAGTACCACTAAACTCAGGCTGCCCAGCATGTCATCACTGGCTGCAACCAGTCCTTGATGTATCAGAGAATGGCAAAAATTATTACAGGGCAAAACATAACTCAAAGTCCCAAAGACCAAGTTAAAAATTGAAGTTAGCCTCACCATTTAGCAACCTGCACTGTATTTTCCTTTGCTGTTCTGTGGTATAAATGCCTTTATGAACACACAACCTTCACTCTCCAACAACAAATCAAGCATCCAGTGAATTTAAAAATTACTTTCAATTCACCTTCCTCAGGAGACTCAGTCCGCATTTTAAAATTTCTTTCAATACATACTGTATTTTCTTGTGAAGAGAATTAATGTTTCCTGAACAGACATTATAATTAAAGTACTCCTTACAACATAATTGCAAATTATGTACCTTAGTTGCATCTGTAAAACTGATGAAAATTTACTAATAAAAATACACACCAGCTAAGGTTAAGTTTAGGAATCATATAGACACAAGATGTCTGAAAATAACTTAAATACACACACACACGTCATGATGTAACTCTGGCATGAAATATGCCTTGTTGATAAATGGAAGTTGAGACAGGTCAAGGGTTTAGTCAGATGATATCAGACTCAGAAACAGATCTCTAGCTTTCACAAAACTGCCTAACGCTGAAGCTCTGATTAACCTTCCATTAGTGATCTCCCTCCAGATCTTCAATAATTACACTGGAACAATCCAGCTTCATCATATCCCAAAAGAACTTCGGCGATGCTTTTATGACACAGAAGGACACAATAACAACAATGCTTTGTTTATTTTCTTTGTTTCTACTCCAGGCTACTTCCAAGCCAGAATGAGAATCATTGTTTGTGTTGGAGGAGTGCAAAGCAAGTATCCCAGCAAAGTGAGATTCAGAAGTGGCTCACATCTGACAGTGCACTTCTCCACCGAAAACTCTGACAGTTGAAGCGGAAGAAATATGCGTAAATGGCTTAAAACAAATCTGCAGTCCTTCTGGATTATGAAGTGTTTCTACAGCATGCAACGGCTTTGTTGTATACACACAAATGCCAATAATCTCTGTTCAAAAGGAACAGTGGACCTTTGACAGAAATGAAATAACCTGCAAAATTCCAATGTTCTCAATAATGCGCAGGGGAGAAAATGATGGTGAGAAGAAAATGGCAATTGCAAAGCATTGAATCTCTTGTTGCATGAGTCGTGTCACTCACGGATATATTCAATGCATATAAAATTCAAGAGCTAAACATTTGGAAAGGTAAACTGCCGTGGACAGCACGTACCGCTTTGTGGGCTGTGGTGCTACACCGCAGGCCCCCAGGCAGCCGTGCTCTCGCAGCCAACACCGAAAGACCAACAGTGATGTGACGAGGTGAGAAAGCTGGAGCACTGCAGTCACCCTTCACATAAGCTTCGAAAAGTGGGCACACAAAATGCATTTTATGATGGAAAAATCCAAACATGACCATAGCCAAACCACGTTCCACTATCACCTTTGCATGGTGCTTGTTTGATTTCTCTGCTGCATGACTAAATTCTAATTAAAAAAGCACATCACATGCAAATTTTTGTACGGACATGCACATACATGTAACCATAACCACATACGTTTTAGCACAAATGGAGATGTTGAAAGTTCCTACTTATCTGGAATGCAAGCGTAATTCCTCTTAGGTCACAGATACTGCTGTAGGACTAGCCTGACTTTGCAGAAAATTCTTGGATCATATGGTGATTAAAATCCTTTACAGAATTCAATTTCCTCATCCTCTATGGATTCCTGTAAGTTACTCTGGTCTCTTCTACCATGCTGGCACTCCTGCTTTTCAGTGTGGCACTCCAGAATTTGACTAGAGACCACCAGAGTACCTAGGCTCCACCAGCAATGCAGAAGTTCTAAAATTCAAGTATTTGTCAAAACCATTTTTTATTTATTTTTTCAAGTTTCTCCTCAGTATAGGTTTCCTCTTGTTTACTCTTTCAGTCTATATTTTTCTCATCTTTATCTTTCGACATTTTAGCACTGTGAAAAATACATTTTAAAACTGAAAATAGAAATATTCCTACATTTTTATTTTTAACTTTTATTTGAAGCCACATTCACACTTTTGGCCTTTTTGCCATCTGAGAGGTCTCACATACTATTTATTCATGCCTCCATTCTACCCTTTCATCCACTGATATCCACTTTATTCAGGCTCAGGGCTAAGTATTCCCCTCAGTCTAGTATGAAGAGATTTTTCAATTGTTTAGCTGAAATAGGCACCAATAGGAGGTCTAGATGGATGAGAAATGCAATGGAGGAGATGCTATCATTAACTCCCCCGTGAGGGCAGGCAATGCTTCTACACATTAAATCAAAGCAGTTAGCCTTCTTTACAAGGCAACGTGTTTGTTTAAAAGTGCACATTTTTCAGAAGCATTTTATACTACAAGAATATATACTAAAGGCTGGTTTCTGATCCCTGGTCTCCACGCAGAGCATCATAAAGCAAAACATCCTTACTTGTTGGGGCTCAGTCAGACTCCTATTGAAGTGGATGAAAACTCTGCTATCGATTTCCACACGAGCAAGACCTCAAGCATCTAACAGAATACTCCTCGCCAAAGTCTTGCTCTGCGAGGAAGAAACTAGAATCCTTCAGATAAAGCTTAGCAATAAACCTCCACAGACACTAGCTGAAATTATACCAGCCTGAAAAATACATAGTCAGTGTCTCTCTGGACTCAGGTCTCTTTTAGATCCTAATGCACTTTATGCCTTTATATAGGATATCAAAGACTGCACTGGAGATGGGAGGTTCAGACATCACACATTAACTGTGCACATACCTGAGTATGAAACACATATTTCAGGAACATATCTTGTTAACCTGGCACGCTCCACATGTGGAAGTATGCCATGGTGCAAGCCTCCTGCACAGCCAGTGGTGCAAGCTACCCCGGCCAGGTGTCATCTGCTGCACCTTTCAGCAGAATCACTGACGCACGGCAGCAACCACAGAGAGGCTGCGCACTTGGGGTGCTGAGCTAGACAAGCAGCAGGCTCTCCTGGAGTCAACAAGGAACATGAGTGTCACCCTTCACACGGAGCTTCTGGTTTGAAGATCAGCTCAAAGTTTTATTGGGACTCCAGCGTTAGCTCCGTGTCAAGGGCTTCAAAGATACCCAGTGGAAGCCACTCAGCTACTTTCTACTGTTACTTTCCTATTACATCTTTGTGAGTGTGAGGCAGACTATATGTGCTCCATGTACTCGAGTCTTGAGCGTGTATTTGCAGAGAACAGTCTGGATGCTTCCTTTTTCCAAACCAGGCTGAAATAATCCAATAGGTAAGACCTGAGTCAACCAGTTACACTGAAGCCTGCTCTTCACACTGACGAACATGGATAGTAAATCTAGAAAGGAAAATTAAGTTACAGCCATAGGAAATATGATCAGATTTGTGTCCTGAATATAAATCTGGCACTTCACTCTTCAGTATTAGAGTTATGTTAACTGACCTGTGAGTTTTTCCAGAACATCAAATCCATGTTTCAGAGCAACGATATCAAGAAAAGAGGCTGTGCCGTCTTCAAACCTAAAGAATGGAATAAATGAGCACAGTAAACAAATCATGCAGCTATGGTATAGACTAAATCTATTTTGAGAGTTATTATTTTATATTCAGTGAATCTAACTTGCAGAGTAGGAACTCTTCCCTTAGAGATTCATCTTCCAGTCTTGTGGTGTCCCATGAAGCAAAAATATATTCTTCAAAGCTATAGAGGTTCGTATGAACAGTTACTTGCACATAGAAGATTATATTTTCCCCTGCGTGGGCTACTTGTGGGTTTTGGATTTTTAAAGTTATGGGTAACAGTTATGTCTTACAAGCTAACGTTACAAGGTCCTAAGCTACCTTTTGATAATGTTGGGAATAGGTGAGGAGACAGGGGGAGACATTGTGTTTGCCCCCCCACTCCGATGTGATTACATCTAATACAGTTGAGCTAGAAGGCAAGAAGAGACCTCTCTTACCTGGAGAAAAGAGGAAGATCACTAACAAATCTCCCTCCACGTGCTCCTTGTGGAAATTAAAAATAACTGATCTGTAACAAGATCACTATACAAGGGTGTGGGAAAAGGTGCATCCTTACCAAAATCTTTTAAAAGAAACACCAAACGGAAACAAAAATTCCAGAATTGCTGAACTACTGCAGCCATTCTCGCAGTTCAGCTGAAGGTGCAGCTCCAAGGCGGGGGTGTATTCAGGACGTGGTGCCCAACAGAATTTCAAGGGGGCAGAAGGCACACCATATCAAGCAACAAAATATGTTTTATTTAGGCTTTGTGTGCACTGCAGTCCACAAGAAGTTTTAAGGAGTGATCATTCAGCTTGCTTCACCACAAAGGGGAAGGCAGAATAATGCTGACAACAGATGAAGTCAGAACTGTAGAGAACTCACTACCATGTAAGGCTGAAACCGGGGTCACAGCAAGTCTCTAAGAAGGAAGGAGCTATCTCCAAAACTATAATAGTTAATGCTGGAAATGAACCCACCAGCAACAACCCCAAATATAGTTCAAGTTTAAAATTAAACTGACCATGAGGATGAGACCTTCCCATGGACTTGGTGTTCCTTGAATCTTTCTCAGAAAGGTCTGATGATGTCCACATTGAAAAATGACTGGATAACATGGAGCACAATAGAGGCACTCTTAGGCAAAACCACTTTACATGCACACATAATAGACAAGAAAATAGTGGATTACTATTTTTTTTTGCTGGATGTATCATTTTTCATAATGCATGAAAAAAGCTTTTGATACCACAATTAAGTATGTATTGTGAAAAGGCTCAAAGGTTAAAAATGTTAGACTTCAAATGCTTTTCTTTAATAAAATAAACCTCAATAGAATAGCATAATAGCTCTCACTTCTACAATGATTTTTCTTACTTATGGTCTATTTCATTTTTCTGCAGTTATCAAATAATACAAACATTGCAAATGACACTGTCAGGTGAAGGACATATAAAGCTTCCAAAAATATTTGGTAAAGTTCCACACAAAAGAATGGTAATATGTTCAGCAGGGATGAAGGAAGACAGAGGCAGCAAATAATTGTAAACCAAGTGATAGGAGAAAAGTGGTGGACTGCTACAAGGATGAATGGCCCAAAAGAGACCACTCATACTCACATATTTCATCACAACATAGGCCAGAGAATCCTTCTTAGGAATTTCTGAATCTTGCCTAGTAATAATTAATAGCAAAGTCTATTGAAACTGAACTTCAGGGAAGAAACCTTGCTGGTTCAGTGATGAAATTCAAAATGGCCACTTATGATTCGAAAGTGACCTAACACCAGGAATATTTTCATGGAGATCTGTGAACCAGTATCTGAGGGAAGCAATACTCTATCCAAAGCCAGAAAAATTAGGAGAGGAGGATGAAGAAGAGATAAGGCAGAGGCTAACATTGGGTTTGGAATGAAATGCAGAAAAACATCAAAAATCTGCACTGCAAATACGTCAAGCATAGAATCATAGAATGGTTTGTGTTAGAAGGGACCTTCAAGACCATGTAGTTGCAACCTCCCTGCCATGGGCAGGGAGGTTGCTCAAAGCCCCATCCAACCTGGCCTTGAACACTTCCATGTCACAGTGGTCCCACAAATGTCACAGTGGTCTGACACAGTGGTCTCACATGGCTGCCAAGGAGAGGTTACAGAAAGGATCCATCAGGGGGAACTGACCTGCCCTGCTCAGTTACTGGCAATGGGCAGCAAAGCAAACAGAACACAGGGAACTAAAGACCAGAGCAGAGACACTGGCATTGAGCCTATCATGAAGACTGCACAACCTTCAGCAACCTTATCATTATCAGAATAGAAAAGCACTTGAACGTCAACAAAGATGCTAGTCTAGATCTTCAAAGGCCTATGAATCTTACCTATCAGAAAAAGGGGAAGCAAAAGGTGGATTTCTGTTCAGTAGATGTGATTATTAACTGAGCAGACAACTGCAGTACATCCATTCGTTCGTGCATCTCTTCTATTGCTTAGCAATTACTGTTCTAAGATCTTAAAGATTTTTATGGACATAGTCCAGAGCTTAGGAATCTCTTTCTGTTCAGAAAAAAGAATGCAAACACAATTATGAAAGTTTGGTCAAACATTATGCTCCAGAACAGCACAATCGTTGCGGCAGTATATGCATCCTGCATTGTTTTGTCAGACCTGCATTATTTAGTCTTTCTGAATCACAAAAAAAATTGCTTGCTGGGAGCTCCACTGCAAGAACGGGAAGTCATGAAAGAACTGAAAATAATGTTAAAAATATTTGCTCAAAGATATGGGCAAGTCTCACTCTCTACAATTTAGATATGGACTATTTTGCAACATTCTTCTCTTGTATTTTGTTTGTTCATATGGCCCCCCTCTATTTCCACATTACTAGCTTTCCATAAAATAGCTTTTTCTGATAAAGAACTAACATTTTGTTATTCCTATAATATGTATATTTACACTACTTCCAGTGCACTTGACTCTCACGTATATTCTTCAGATTTACTGAACACTTGATGTGCAATTTCATGTAAAAATTTACAGGAATAATCTACAAATTCTGATATTTAGCAAATTAAGCCTTAAGTGCTATACCAAATTTACTTAGTACTGCAGCAAAACGTCATGCTATAAAAGGTAGTTATTCGCCTCTTGGGACGCAAAGAGCGTCCCAGAATATTTAACCGTATTTAAGATCGTCATGCTATAAAAGGTAGTTATTCGCCTCTCGGGACGTCCCAGAATATTTAACCGTATTTAAGACTGAGAGCAAACATGCTCCTTACATTGCAAAACACTGACTTCTATGGCTACTTTTCTGTTTGATGCAATTGATGCTTCGAATAAACTGTTTCCTCAGTCAATGGCAGTCACAGTGTTAGAATAATCAGTTTAGGATGAAGTTCATTTGAATGCTGGTCTAGAAGCCATTTCCTGAAGTAATAAAGGTTTTACATGTATGTATAAAGGATACTTACAGAGGCTGATACTGCAGAATACCAACCCAAGACACAACAAGCTTACCTCTCTTATCTAGTTCTTATTATAATTGATCCCACTTAATCACATCTGGGATGAGCTCAATTGCTTAGCTGATTGTGTTTGTGAAAAGCTGACAGCATTTCACATCAACCCGCTACCCGACAAACTGGTTAAACAGCACATGGCATAACAAAAAACAGAGCAGTCTGCCCAAATCTATCAAGGAGTTATGAGGCTGATGAGCTGTTATTCCAAGTCACACAAGACCTCTGCTTCTAGAAGCAGCAATTTTTCCTTTGGGTCATGAGAGAAAACTATTGCTTACAGCCAGAGGTCCCACCTTTAGGATCTTCCTAGGAAAGGAGATAGGCTAGTCTTTCTTTGAGTCCTTGTTCAACTGGTTGTTGTGACACTTCTCTGTTAGGCTTCTGCAAACAAATGTTATTTTCTAAAGCCACCATCCCACACTTCAGGGCAACTGAAATAAGGAAGGAAACCGTGACATCTTGAGCAGTTTGAATTCGTCCTCTCATTAGCCAGGTCTCCTTTGCATGGAAATATGAAGACAAGAGTCATGGCCTGGACAGATGCGACTGAAAATAAAGTGCTTAAGGGCTAAACAAAGAATCCATGTTTAAAGAGAGTACTCAAGTGTAAAATTTGTTGGAAGGCAAAAATATTACCCTGGAGTTAGACAGCACCGACTTAAATCAGGAGTCCAAAAGGGCCCTCAAGAGCAGTCAGTCAATGCTGAAGCGGTGAAATAGCTTGCATAACGTAAGCTATTCCGTATATAGAAAGCACATAAGGTATGACTTTTAGGTATTTTGGGTGAGAGCACCTGCCTCTGGATTCTGGGAAGGCTGACGTGCTGCACAGGCAGATGAGTGATTCAGCTGGTTCTTTTCAATTCATTTGCCCAGACAAAGTAAATCGAGACACAGAGCCACTGCACATGTGCATTTTCTGCCCAGAACACAGCCCAGAGCTTTGAAGCTTTGACAAAAATCCCATCACAAGGTCAAAAATAATCCCCCTCATTTGAGAGCATTGCTGAGTCAATGCAAAATGCAATGAAGGAGTGCAGGGGGGCACATCACTGTCAGCCAGCCTCCACTCTCCTTTACACTGGGGTAGTGACTCCATTTAGGTCAAATGAGCAGAAGTCATTCCTGAGTTTCTAAAGCAGGTAAAAGTGAAACCAAATCCACAGAGGAAGCATATTTCTTCAATAAGCTGCTTTTCTTTTCTTTTTTCTTTTTTTTTTTTTTTTTTTTAACACTCCTCAAGAGTGGAGCTGCCCTTTGAAGTGAGATGTTACAAGAGTTCCTTTCATCTTTTCAATTCATTTATTTTCATCTAATTAAAAAGTACAACAATACAGAGAGGTTCTTGGTATGCATTTAAAAGTAGTTCATTCAGATCCTATTTTTCACCTCTTAGAGATATTCCATATCACCTCCACATGAAACAACTGCCTTGGTGAATTTAATTTTTACATTTTATACATTTAATTGTTTATTCTAAATTGACATTTGCTGGAATTAC